GAAAAAAAAAAGAAACTTCAGTGTTGCCAACTTTTGACCATCTGTTTCAAGAAATTCAAGACCAAGTAATAATCTATTTGCTTAGACTTCAACATTAAGTTACCAGTATAACTCACAAACATTTTCTGTCTCTGGTAGTTATTTAGTGCCATGAAGCAAAAGATATTAAAACATTACATAAAGAAACACAATATACACCAAATATTTGGGTGTCCAGGAAACATAAGACTAGCTAACCATACATCCTTATTTCAGACACTAGAAGCTTATGGCAAAGGGGACAGCATAATTCTTCCTTACAGCATAATTTGTGCAAAGCTCAGGTTGTATAAAGCTGCCTATGTCTTTAAAAGTGAAGAATAAGATATTAAGGAACCCAAAGTTGTTTTAAGTGAAATTTATTTATAACAAATAAATGAATAATACTTCAGAAATGAGAGAGGAATGTGTCAAACATCTTAAAAGATGGGCAGGGATGTATTGTACTGCAATACAATATAAACTTTTATCTATATATCTATATATTTCCATATATATGTATATATGGAAGTAGTCATTGCCATTTCTAAGGGGCAGGAATATGAACAAAGGGAGAAAATTATAGAAAATAATTTTTAACATCACGAGAACAAATTTGTAATGGTGGTTAGAATCCAGTAGGTATCTGTTGGGAAGTATTATGCTTTCCACTCTTAGAAGGGTCTCATCAGTAGTGAAATGCCACCTCACACAGCTGATTTCTGTGATATTCGGAGGTTCCAGATAGAGATGACATTTCATATTTAAATTTTAAAACATAAGAACTTCCTTACAAGGAAATGTATACTCTATATGGTATGAATCAGGAGATGCCCAACATGAGCCAAAGGGGGTATTATTAAGAGTATGTCTGCTTTCTCAAAGCTGTAGTCTCACTTGGTGGAGGGTGATTAGAGATTTCTAGAATTGTGGGTATACAGCCACAAAAGCCTAATAAAATTAATAGTTTAATATAAACTAATTTTTATTTGTTGCCATTCTCAGGATTTTGCTAAGCAAGCTCTTCTGTTAAGCCATAGCTCAATGCAGAGTTTCATTTTGGGGCCAGTGTACTTAAAGCACTCTGAGTGAATCACACATTGGGGACATTTTCCTACGGACCAAATGAAGGAAGTGGGGTAAACTGCTTCAGAAAGAATGGATTATTTAGAGAAAAATACGCAGTGTGCTGCAGCTGGTAAGTCACAGAGTCTAAATCATGTGCACTTCCTTTGGGGGAGAAGAGAGAAAGAGCATGAAAAATAGACACTATGAAATTGGGGTTAAATGGAGTAGCAGGAGAGCAGAAACAGAGAGCTTGGGGGCTGAAGTGAGATAATTGGTGTTCAGGGTAGCTTCACTCATTGTCTTTATTTGTTTGTTTGTTTATTTATTTTAATCTCAGGGTCAGTTTTTTTTTTTCTTTCAGAATATTTTAAGGTGAACCATTTTCTTTTATTCCCAGATTGCACTTGCCAGTTGCCTTGGAAGTACTAATTATGGTTTTCCTTATTTAGGATAGAAGAGAACTATTATTGTTGAAGGTTTATTTAAAAAATTCATTCCTTAACACATTATTAGAACAGTGATTTTTTGAAATTATCATCTTTACAATGAATATAAAAATTATCATGGAAAAATACCATGGCATCAGAAAAATTCATTAGTAGAATTATATGGATGTAGGCATCTTTTTTCTTAGAACATGAAAATGTGTCTACAGATTTAGGCCCAGCTTCAAGAAATCAGCAGACAGATCTAGGATGACTTCCCAATAGCATCAGGTAAAAGAATTCTGGGAAAGCTACATCTAAACGCTCAGTATGCCAAAGACGACACCTGTCCTAAGGCAGCCGTACTTGAAAATGAAAGTTTACTCTTTATTTTCAATGTGGCAGCATGTTGAAGATGGTTTCATACTTTATTATCATGTCATCATGTCAAGTAATTAAAGTTTGGTATAGACAAAAGTTATTCATATCTCTTTTGTTTTTTCTTTTTTTTTCTTCACAATTTATTCATTATATATCTAGATTGAAGTCCCCTCCCTCAACTCCCCCAGTCCCACTCAGTCAACTGAGTTCATGATAGAGGCAACCCCTGCTCCCCTCACTCAGATTCACATGGAGACTGAGATGCCAACTAGCCACATCTGAGCAGGGGGTCTAGGTCCTCTTCATGCATGGACCTCCGTTGCTATATCAGTCTCTGCAGGACCTCCTGGGCTCACATCTTTTAGTTTTGTTGGTCTCCTTGTAAGGCTCCTGCCCCCTCCATGTCCCTCCAATACCACTCCTTTCTTCCTCCATAAGACTCCCTGCACTCTGCCCAAAGTTTGGCCCAAAGTCAGAATCTTCTTTGTTCTCCTGTTGGGTGAATTCTTTTAGAGCATCTCCATAGTAGGCTCCCATTCTGTTTCCTCTCTTCCACCACTTCTGGTGTTTATCCTGTTTGCCATTCTGAATGAGATTTAAGCATCCTTCCTAAGTGTTTAGCTTCTTTAGGTCTATAGATGGCTGTCCTATATTACACGGCTAATATCTGCTTATTAGTGAATGTATGCCATGCCTGTTTTTCTCTTTCTGGGTTACCTCACTCAGGATGATCTCTTCTAGTTCCATCCATTTGCCTGAAAATTTCATGATTTCTTTGTTTTTAATAGCTGAGTAGTATTCCATTGTGTAGCTGTACAACAATTTCTGTACCTATTCTTCCGTTGAGGGGCATCTAGGACATTTGCTCAACTATGTTCATAGCAGCTTTATTTGTAATAGCCAGAATCTGGAAACAACCTAGTTATTAATATCTTAAGTCCCTAAAATAATTTTTTCTAGTTTGAAAATGCAACATTACAAAGATCAGTTTTTATATGGAAAGCATACAAAGAAACAACAGTTTCACAGCTTTTTGATAATAAAAATAGTGATGACTTTTGTTGGTAAAGAATTTGGAAACTCTGGGTAACAAGATTGACTGAAAGTCTTATTGGTGTGTTTTTTTTCTTTCTCTCTCTCTCTCTTTTTTTTTGGACTGTGCAATTTGATAGGATATTTTCTCATAGTAGAGGTCCTTCCTAAAGAGTAGCTACCCCACAGAGCCTGAAGTGATGATCTTCCATAACCAGGCAAGGCTTCCAGTGGAGGAATTCGGCCACCAATCCAGCTGCAAAACCTTCAACTACAATTTGTCCTGCCTGCAAGATGCGCTGAAGTGAAGGTGGTGCAGAGCTTGTGGGAGTGGCCAAGCAATGATTGGTCCAGCTTGAGAGCCATGTGGTGAGGGAGCTGATGCTTGGCACTACCTGCAGGGCCAGGAACCAGAGACCTAGGGTCGAACTAAATATAAACAGCAAAAGAAATGAACAAAATAATAATAATAACAAAAATATTAAAAATTAAAAAAGAGTAGCTACCATTTGGGAAATGGCAGGTGGATGACGTACTTGTTAAACTACTAAATAAATCATAAGCAAAGGAAAGAGAGACAGAATTGATTGACAGATTCAACAAAATGAATGCCAACCTATGCACAGGAATCTTTGTCACTTGAGGTGATAAACATGCATTGACAGCCAGATTGAATCAACTGGAAAGCCACTTCTCTTCATCTTTAACACTAGGATCATGGATAAATTAGTAAGCGTCACTAGACCTGTTTTCTTTTGCTTATTTGAAATTGTTCTGTCATGGGAAATACATGTTACCCTATAAAGAAGTATGAGATGTTTATGAAACTTAATATATACCTCGTAGAGAGATGAGTTCAGCACAAAGGCTATTCACAAACATGAGCTGGACCATGGGGATTAAACAGAAACTCTCCAGGGCCTAGAGAAGTAAGAATAGCTAATAGAAAACTTTGATGCTTAATCTCCTAAACTTCCATATATCATGAAATGATCTTTCTGTTGAATTGTAAAGCCCACTCTTCCTCTAAAACTTTTCATAAAGAAAGAGGAGATAATGGCTCCTTGGGGATATAATTCATCTTATGTAGCTAGACAGGCATTATCAGATCTTGGAGTCCTTGTAACTTTGAATAAACTCTTCCTTCATAGTAAGCCTTTTGACTCCATTTCTGGGTTTCCCTGGTAACTCTAGGCAGAAGAAGAGCATCACAATCACTCCCTGAGGATATACATTTTCATGTGAAAAGTTGGAGGTTTCAGGGCTTTGCTGAGGCCCATTAAAGGAAGGATATTTTCTCTTGGTCAAGATGTCCAGCCCTTGGGTAGAGAACTGACATTCTGATATACTCCAGAGAGTCAAACTTTGCATATTGTCTCCTGTCTTAAGCAGTTATCCTGCTGTGTCTGTCAATCACCTGCTCAGGAGATCATTGCTCATGAAAACAGATTCATTTGGGAACATGCTAAGTAAATGGGAAGAATAATTATCTTCTTAATAAGAAACTATATTTCTCTTTCCCAAAAGCCTGTCCCAGGGTATAGCAGCTCATGGAGACTTCACCATGCTGCGTTGCTAAGTCTGCCTGCTTTTTCTTTCCCATCTTTATATCTCCTTTTCTTTCAGATGCTGGCCAAATGCCAAAGCATGTTTTCCCAACACTAGGGCTTTCCCATTCATTCTATGAAGCTCATTTTTTTTTTCCTTTCTACAGTCCAGGTGCTTGCTAATCTCCGTGGCTGCACAGGTATGTAATGAAAGTTAAATGAGTTAAAGGCAAGACACAAATCTGCTAAGATTGCTAGCCAAGAAGAAAAAAAATCAAAAATCAAACTTTGTCAGCAAGAGCACATTGCAAGGGCCGTGAGATGTAATCAGGTGGTGGTTATCTGTAAACTTGGAGGAATGCCCTAGTAGAAATGAAGTAAGACTCTTTAGAATTCTGAGAAAATAAGTGTCTGCTGTTTAAACCATCTAGTCTAGGTATTTTGTTACATCTTTCCAAGCTAGGACACTCACGCAGTGAGACAAAGAAGCATGTAAATTTGTGCACCATTTTGCTTGGGTCACACTCACCATTAGTAGTCTGTCCCCTACTTGCAGCCTTCCATCTTTCTGTGCAGCTCCACCATCTATAATTTTTGTTACATAAATGCTGTTGTCTCCAGGAATGTGCTGGTTCCCCACCCCTCCGGCAATACTGAAGCCTAAACCTAGGGAGGCAAAACGGAAAATGAAAAACAAATGCAATTAGCTATGTATCAACAACCGAAAATAATTTTAATTAGTACACTTTTTCCCTTGTAAACGGCAGCGAGGATTCTACCTTAATCAACTTTGCTTTCTAAATATTTGAAGAGCTTATTGGTTTTTGCTAAAGAAGCAAAGGTCTTTTTGGCAATCCTATGTGAATTTCAGTTTTGTTCATCTGAGGACGGGCCCCTAAGCACTAGTGAGCTCATGATGAGTAACTGGTCAGAATCAGGGTACAGCAAAGCATAGAGTTCTTATCCCCTTTGAGGGGAGAACTGTATTTTTATGTTGAGTAAGGGGAAGCACGGGTGCGGTCCTTGATTGTACAGAGCCCAGGGTTCATCTTCATAGCGATTATTACACTAGCATAAGAAGTACACGCTTCCACCAATGGACTGGAAGACTGTCGTGATTTATGATTTTCTTTGTTCTGTTAATATAATAAACTTCATAAAACTATTTTTTTAGTTGGAAAATGGAATTTGGGGTAACCTAAATCTGTGTCCCCAGGTTGTTGTCATTCATATTTGACTGCAGCATGACCGCCTATCCCCTTTGATAGGAGAGATAGCTATGTTGAGCCAGGAGAAATACAAGTGCATTCCTTTCTTATACAGAGCCCAGGGCTCATTTTCATGATTACTGCTACTCTAGAAAAGAGAGAAGAACCACAATCATTTGGTGGGTGCATCTGGATACTCTTGACATTAAAGGATGAAAAATACAGTTAAGGTGTCATCCAGACTGTGAGATGAGCCGAGAAAGTTTATGCCACCATTTTAGAAAGCCAATGGGGGAAAAAATGACAGAAGATGCTCTTTTTACATTTTTCCTCTGGCCATGTTGTCATATTTTCATATTTCCTGGTACCTAGTGTTATTAACTGATAGTGAAGCTACTGACAAAAAAAATATGTGAATCATCTCTATGTATAGCCTTATGAACAAAAATTAATTTATTTATTTACTTCACATTCCAAATTCAGTTTCCCCTCCTTTTTCTCCTCCCAGTCCTTTTTCCCAATCTCCCCATCCCCAATCAACTCCTCCTTCATTTCCCTTTAGAAAATGGGAAGCCCCCAAGGGGTACCAACCTGCCCTTGGCACCTCTAGTCCCAGTAGGACCAAAGCCCATCCTCTCTCATTGAGGCCTGACAAGGTAGCTCAGCTAGAGGAAAGGAGTCCAGTGGCAGGTAACAGAGTTAGAGACAGCCTCTGCTCCTGCTGTTAGGAGTCCTATAAAAGACGAAGCTACACAACTGTTACATATGTGCAGAGGTCCTAGGTCCATCCCATGCTGCTCCCTGGTTGGTGGTTTAGACTCTGTGGACCCTATGGACCCAGGTTACTTGATTCTATAGGTTTTCTTGTGGTGTCCTTGACCCCCCCACCCCGGCTCCTACAATTCTTCCTTCCCTTCTTCTTCAGGATTCCCTAAGCTCCACCTAATGTTTGCTTATGAATCTCTGCAGCTGTTTGCATCAGTTGCTGGGTGAAGCCTCTCTGATGACAATTATGCTAGGCTTCCGTCTGCAAGTATAGCGGAGTATCATTAACAGTGTCAGGGATAGGCTCCTTCTCATGGCATGAGTCTCAAGCTGGACCAACCATCAGTTGGCCATTCCCTTAATTCTGCTCTATCTTTAATCCTGTATATCTTGCAGGCAGGACAACTTATAGGTTGAAGGTATAGTGGCTGGTTTGATGTCCCATTCCATCCATGGGAAGCCTTGCCTGGTTATAGTAGACGGCCATTTCAGCCTCCAAACCTCCCATTTCTAGGTGTATTAGCTAGGGTCACCTTCATAGATTCCTGGGAATTTCCATTGCCCTAGGTTGAAAGTTGTATTTTTGTGTTGAAAGTATCAAGAATAAAAAAATAAGACACCTTCACTTTAACTTTTATAATGAATGGGAGACTATAACATCATTTAAAACATGGACTCTTGTATTGTAAGCAATGAATTTTACCCTGGTTTGTAAAATGTTTATTTATTTTTTATGTTAATATATTTTACTATTATCATTTATTACCATTTATTCAATTTGTATCCTGGCTGCGGCTCCCTCCCTCATCTCCTCCCAACCCCACTCTCCTTCTCTCTTCTCCCCCTGTGCCCCTTCCCTAGTCCATTGATAGGGGAGGTCATCTTCCTCTTCTATTTGACCTTATCCTATCAGGTCTCCTCAGGACTGGTTGCCTTGTCTTCCTCTGTGGTCTGGCAAGCCCCCCCCCCCCAGGGGGAGGTGATCAGAGAGCCTGCCATTAAATTCAGGTCAGAGACAGTCCCTGTTCACATTACTAGGGACCCCATTTGGATACTGAGTCTGTGGGCTACATCTGAGTCTGAGTTTTAGGTCCTCTTCATGCATTGTCCTTGGTTGGGGTATCTTGTTTAGGGTATTAGTCTCTGAAGGGTCCCCATGGAAATCATGAAATTTGCAGGCAAATGGTGGGAACTAGAAAAGATTATCTTGAGTGAGGTATCCTAGGAAGAGTCAGACACACATGGTCTTACACATGGTATATACTCACTCATAGGTGGTTATTAGCCTTGTAATATAGGATAAACATACTAAAATCTATAGTCCTAAAGAAGCTAAACAACAAGGAAGACTCGAGGGACGATGCTCAATCCTCATTCAGAAGAACAAAGGAGATAGACATCGGAAGCAGGGGACAACAGGGAACAGGACAGGAGCCTACCACAGATGGCCTCTGAAAGACTCAAGGGATATTGAAACAGAGGCTGAGACTCATAGCCAAACTTTCGGTAGAGCGCAGGGAATCTTATGAAAAAGGGGGAGATACAAAGACCTAGAGGGGACAGGAGCTCCACAAAGAGACCAACAGAGCTGAAATGTTTATTTTTATTTAACTGTGGAAAGATACAGCAAGAGCAAATTATCTGCTGACTATAAAGTATTATAAAGAAATGATTGATAGACTCTTTATGAATATTATTGACTATATATTCAGCAAAATGCTTATAGTATATATAAAATATAATTAATACGCTAGTTACTAAATATTACAGAAAGAGAATAATTGAAGTCCAGTGGAAATAAGCACAGATTTTGTTACTTTCTTGGCTTAAAAAAACATATTGAATAACTGATAAAGTTGTCATAACATATTTTGGCACTTTAGATAATAATAAAAATGCTTTTATAAACATTAACTTGATTTCTTTATGCTTTTGATTATAAATATAGCATAAATTAAATATATGTCTTTAAATAATTATTTGGTAAATTACAAAGTTATTCCCTGTAATTATATTGAAAATGCAATAGTTCTGTTGAACAAACTATAATAGTTATGAAAATAAATGGAAAATGGATTCAAATTGATAGAGTAATTAAAGAAAGTGTTATCTATTTTTTTTTTTTACTGAAGTGAGTAATTATTCTTTACTGATGTTTTGTTACCTCATAGAACCATGAACACATTTGTCTCCTAGGACTTAAAGAATGTGTTTTATAATCAATGACCTAAGAATAAATGATCTGTCCATATACTGGCTTTTCCTATGAACTTTAAAATACACAGTAGCTGATATTTCTCAAAACTGTAATTTTACTGGTTAACTGAACATAAGAATATTTTAAAAGTACATTTTCAATACTTTCATTGTCACATGTAGTTTTCTGTATTTGTAGCACAATGGAGGTCATTCCAAATTCAGAAAAGAAAAAGGTTAAAGACATATCTAAAAACTCTGATTTACATACATTAGACCAGCAATAAATACCAAAGACAATCTTGGTTCCAGAGAGTTATGGAACACATTGCCACCATAAAGGAGATTAAGTCCCACAAAGAGAATAACTAGAAGTTGACATTTGAAGTTGAAGACTGTACTAAGGCCTTGAAATCACTAAATACTGTGGCTATAAATACAACAGCTTAAGGCTTTCTTCTTCTTCTTCTTCTTCTTCTTCTTCTTCTTCTTCTTCTTCTTCTTCTTCTTCTTCTTCTTCTTCTTCTTTTTCTTCCTCTCCTCTCTCCACCTCTCCCTCCTCTTCTCTTCTCTTCTCTTCTCTTCTCTTCTCTTCTCTTCTCTTCTCTTCTCTTCTCTTCTCTTCTCTTCTCTTCTCTTC